AGGATAAAAATGAAATTAAAAATGTTGTCTATAAAATACCCTGTACTTGTAAGAATAATAGTTTTTACATAGGTGAAACAAAAAGAACATTAAAAACACGTGTTAAAGAACACATATCCGATTTAAAATATAGTCGTCTGAACTCCGCTTTTTATGATCATTGTGTAATCAATAATTGTAATATAAACCAATCAAATATACAAATTTTACATAAAGAAAAACGGATTTATGACAGAAAATTTAAAGAAAGTGTGGAAATATTACGAAACAAAAACCAAGGCTGTATAAATAAAAACTTAAGTGTAAAAATTCATGAAAACTGGTTGAAAATATTATAATGAAATGTACTAGATTAATACAATTTATAATAATAGAATGGTAAAAAACGAATTATTTAATGAAACAATGGTCTGTATTAACGTCATATGTAAATTAGATAAAAAGAAAATATGTAGAGTAAACTTTAAGAGAAATAGTGATTTATTGTATAAAAAAATTAAAAAATTTTTTGTAATTTCCTTAAGGATTTTCAAATGTTTGTCGATTAATTTGTTCACTAGTATAACTTACGGCACATAGTGCTATATGCAAATTGTCGGATCAGTCAACGAGGTGGCAAAAAAAGACTTTTGAAATTTGTGAGTTTTAGTTTTTTAAAAATCTGCAGAGTTTATCTTGTTTATGTAATAAAATGTAGAAAAGGTTTGTTTTTAACCTGTAAAGTAAAAATTGTGATAAAAATTGATATTGTAAATGTTAAAAACCTAAGTGTAGTCTGATTTCTGCTGTATGTGCAGTGTCCATGCTGAAGTGAGGTATGGTTTACAAAAAATTTATGTGAGTTTTTTGGTTTTATTTGTGTCTTGTTAAATATTTTTATATATATTTAGTTAGCTGAAGAGGGGCTGATGCCCGAAACGTTGATGTATGGAAAAAACGTTCTAACTAAATAAAAGATTCAACTAGCCCAGTGTTGAGAAAAACGTCACTTCATTGTGCCAGTACACAACAGGAAAAAAAAAAATAATAATATCAAAGAACAATAATAGAAAATATAATCGATTTATATCCATAGCATAACTAGTGAAAATACAATAATATTTTTTTATAATTAATATTTTCCGTTTTCACTTAGTATATTATTTACTTTATAAGAATCTAATAACTCTGAAAAATACATAAGGTCAGTTAAATATAATTTCAAATTTATTTTTAGTAGTTTATTTTTTATTAAATTAACTTTTTATATTTTAAAACTTTGCAAGATGTTTTTTAAACAGTTTTAATTTAAACATTAATAAGTGCATTTGTTGAGTTTCAATAAATCTGACATTTAGTTGTTTGGATTAAAATGAATAAATTGAGCTTAATGCTTGCTTATGTATTAATATTTTATTTTCAGATAATCAGAGATCCTGAAACAGGAAATTCAAAAAATTATGCATTCATCAATTTTGCTAGTTTTGAAGCATCAGATGCTGCTATACAAGCTATGAATAGACAGTATCTTTGTAACAAACCTATTAGTATATCATACGCATTTAAAGAAGATTCAAAAGGCGATAGACATGGTTCAGCAGCAGGTAATTTAATTACTAAGAATTAAAAATTAATAAAATAAAATGTGAAAAGTAATATGAAATAAAATCTAGTCTTTTAACTTATCCAAATGATCACTAATGTCATATAAGAAAATAAAGTGCTCAAAAGCTGACAGAAAATGAAAAATTAAATGATGTCTCTCATTATATAAAAATTCACAAAGCATTATGAATTTTGCTATTAAATATTGAAATGAGACTTTTTTGTTTCAGAACGTCTTCTAGCTGCTAAGAATCCACTTTCTCGTGCCTACAGACCTCATCAATTGTTTGCTGATGCACCTCCACCACCATCTGCACCAGTAGTAGCACCAATGGCTGCACCGCCACCACCAATGGTTGGACTTTCTCCTCCGCCGATGGCAGTAGTGACATCAGGTAAATTAAATTCAATAATCGTTAATTTAAAAAACTTCACATGTAGTAAACTCAATATTTTTGAATGTATTCTCTAGATATCGAATAACTATAAATAATACCATAACTTTTTCATTTTCCACATTTTCTTGTAACAATCTAAATAGGAGCTGTTCTTCCATAGAAAGTTCTCCCCTCAACAGACTGTGTGATAAAATGTCAATGACCAAAGTTGACCATTAAAAATTTAAAAAAGGTTAGCTATCATTATATCTTTGTGGAATTATGATAAAAGTATTGTATTCAATTTAGTATAATTGTTGTAAATAGTAAATTAATGTTTATATATTAGGTAAGCCTAAACTTAATGATAACAATCAAAAGACATGGCAAATTTTTGACATCATTTGCTGCAATGTCACACTGTTCGTTTCCTTATGTTTTTCTTTCATTCTGTTTTATTATATGTAAATTTTCTCTATTTTTTTCTTGTGTCTTGTAAATGTTTATTCCAATTGTGACTTCACGTCAAATTAGTCATTCTTGCAATAACGCAGTGCTTAAAAATTTTAAAATATATTTGAAGGAGTTGATAAAAAATAACATGAATAAAGTATATAAAATATTTTTATTGATGAATGAGTGTGTCAAAAACACAGCATTAGTATTTTATAAAATATTAATTACACACAAACCAGTTTATATAAATAAGATTATTTATATGGCCTACATTTTGGAAGTTATACTTATAGCATTTTAGCCAATCAATACTTATATTTCAGCATTTCTGTTGATGCGGTTTTATTTTTAAAAACAAATTTATTAAAAAAGGTATGTTTTTTGATACTTTCATTCTTGATTTGTTTTTTCACTTTAAAACAAATTTAATACAGCAAAGAACTTAAATTTTTCTTACTGTGTAAAATAAGAAAATCATCATTAAACTCTAACACAACACAAAGTCTGTTCTTCAGCTTAATGATAATACCAAATAAAATGCAATTTAGTTAGTTCATTGGATTTGTTAATAGTTGTCTTTGTTTTCAGATTGAAATGTAGTTGAATATTATTTTTCTAGAAACACTTGATTATATGAATGTTTTGAAAACAGTGCAAACATGCATTGAGGTTTATCATGTGTATTTTTGAGTTGACAGTTATTCCTTCAGACGTGAAATCCATACATACAACCGTATATGTGAAATAACAACTGTTATTACTTTACTTCTTGGGTAGATTTAAATTTTTTCTTTTATTCTCATATCCATAATCACTTGAAAATATTTTCCACTTCTTCTTACATACAATATTTTAATCACAATAATTAATGTATGGAAAAAAATATATCATTAGCATGTCAGTAGAGAATATAACAATTTCACTTGTAAAAATAGACAAAAATAAAAGTGAAAAATTCACAAACACCTTCTAAAATGTGAAATAATATCTTTGAAGTGATAAATTATTGTTTAATTGATAAACATTGTTAATTGCATATGAACGTTATTAACACTTAAATTACAGTGAAATAAAATCTATATAGTTTCTATTAAAATATTCTATATTGACCTGATTACTCATGATTTTATTAAATTGAAGTACAGTAGACCCCCCTATAACGCTTAGATACGTTCCACGCTAACCGAAAATTACGTTGTAGGAGTGAGCCAATCGCAGCCCGATAGGTGGGAACTTTACGGACTAAGGCTGTTCGAAAGGTTTTCTTCTATAAAATTAACCGATTCTAGACTAATTCCACTCAACATTTCCAAAACACGTATAATTTTTTGGGAGTAATCCGTACAAACTATGCTATAAACAAAAAATTATAGGATTACTTACACCGTTCGACTACGCCGTTGCTTAAAGCTGGTTTTCATCGCGGAACAGCACGCGAAACGACGGCCGCAATTTCTGATAACGAATTTTTGGCGGAAAAATAACTTTACCTTTGGAGACATCATTAATATAAATAATTTTTATGGACGTTGAATAAGAAGTGTTTCTTTCACAAGAAATGTATAAAATTAGTGCTGTATTAGACTTACGGTACCTAATTTACATACTGTGCAGACGATAATAAACTCAACTTACTAGCCTAAAATCTCCGTAGCGTGTTGCCAGGCGGCAGAAAGCATATATATAATTATAATAAAGTTACAATAAATTAAGTTAATATATAATTATATATACAGTACCTAATTTATATATAATTAATATATAATTATATGTACAGTACCTAATTTATATATAATTTATATATAATACTAAACAGACGATAGCAAACTCAATTTAGCCGCTCCGTAGCGTGGCGCAGGGTCGGAGGAAAGTAGTTCGGCTGCTCATCCACTATTGGTCCAGACTCTATCAATCTTGTCGCGAAACGACGTTATGGGAGGTATGTTTTACGAGAGTTTGTACAATTTTTTCGTTACGTTATAGGAATTGTCGTTATTAGAACGTACGTTATAGGGGGGTCGACTGTAATCAAATTAAAAATTGCTATTTGCAACTGAGTTTTATCTGATAGAACTTTAATTCATGTTTTTCTAAAACATTGATAAAAGTTAAATATAATAAACATGCACTTTCAATTTATTGATTTAATTGTATTTTTAGAAAAAGTATATATATATTACTTTATATATATATTTTTTTTGAATTTATATATAACAAATATATCCTTGCTTAGATTACTAATAACTAGAAAATTGATTTCAAAGCAATTAGAATGGACAATCTGTCAATCGGGGTAATCTCATTTCGAGTCTGAAATGGGTGGTCTGTTTTGTATATTTTACTACCTCCTTAAATTTGTAAAACAAGTTTTACAAAATTCAAAGGAGCTTTTTGCAATGATATAATACTTATTGATTACAGTTGCTGCTGCATCTGACAGTTAACAATAAGAAACATAGTTTATGTCACATTCAGACAGTTTGCCTTCTTGCCGCACTTTTATCGGCATGATGGCGACACGTGACGGAATCCCATTTCATCACAAATTTCCCAATATCGTCATTGGTTTTGTTCCTTGACACCCATTTGTTTTTATTTTGGTTCTGGCTAAACACTAGACAGGCATGGAAAAAAGGCCATCTTAGTGCCTACAAAGTGTTAAAAAATAATCATTATTTTTTATTAAACAAAATGAAATGTTTTTTAACATTAAAAGATATATTCCAGTTTACGTAGTTTATTCATATAAATAAAGACTACTTTTTTGAGTTAATTTGTGCTGGTTTTTTGGGTTGGTCTTTAATTACATTTAAAGATCCAAAAAGCAAATTGAATATTGTATTTAATTAACATTAAATATGTATAATTGTTATTAGATTGTATATAACTGTGATGTATGATTAAAATTTAATTTAAAAACTTTCGTATTTTTAGGGACAAATGGAATTAGTAGAAGCTATGGAATGTTGGAAATAGAAAACTCGTATTATAGCTTATTTTTAAGATACTGCCAATAAAAAACCAACTGAATTTTTATTAAAATTTTTTGCGGGTCAGAAATGATTCAAAGTGGCAAAAGAGTTATGGATGGAAATTTTCAAAAAGTAGAAAATATTTCACATCATTTAAGAAAGAAAAATGTAAATTAGTGTGTAATAAAATAAAACTAAATATTTTGTTACCTTTATTTACAGTATATCTATACTAATATAATAAAGAGGTAATGTTTGTATGTAAGTTTCGTTGCAGCAGGTAATCTCCAAAACTACTCATCCGATTTCAAAAGTTCTTTCACCAATATTTAGAATGGAACCTTAGGGTAGACATAGGCTGTGTATTATTCCGTTAAACATTCATATAAATTATAATATATAATCTAGGTTAACCCTTTTATGTCCAACAGATGGCGCTACGAGTACGACGCCCTAAGTTTGCTTTTCTGCGAGGCATTACGCTTTTCTGTGAAAATGAACTAAGTGAATCATCTTCTATTTATATAAATGAAAATGTAATGTTCGTTTGTTCCTACCGATTTCTTTGAAATTTTGACACAACGCTGCATTCGAATGCGCACGTGTTTTTATATCATATACGTGTCGAAATTTCCCGCACTGGGGGAGATGGACAGGANACACTAAGAAGAAATTTTTCGTAAAATTTCCTCCCCACAGGGGAAGTGTTATGCATTTATAATAGATACATTTTGAGCCACAACAACGCGTGGCGGGGTCTGCTAGTATTGTATAATATTATAGACTCTTTTCCATGTTAATTATCTTTAATCCATATTTTAACATTTAACAGTAATTCATATTAAAGATTCATTTTATATAATTAAAGAAATCTATCTCAAATTTCAATTTATTTCACTTTTGTACATATTATTGTCGAAAAGTTTATAATCTATATAAGAAAAATGCAGCATACAGTTTTTTTATCATGTGCATAATTAGCATTATTACATTAGAAATGCAAAATATAGTTTAATACCAATTTACCTCATTTAATTTTATAAATATTCTTCAATTGAGTGGAATTTTACCCCCAAAAAAATCTGTCATGAATATCCTGAATTGTAAATATACATTTTTTTGCAAATAATTTTAAAAAATCACATGTAAAAATAATTTTAGTAAGAGTTTTGACAGATTAACTTTTTATATTCATTTTTATTGGGCCCACCAGCAATGTTCCCTTTTATTTTTTTGTAGATGAGCATAACATATACTTTTCTGAGCAAAAAACAAATTTTGCTGAGCAGATTCTGAGCAAAAAATTATTCTGAACATATATATACAAAATCAATGATCATTGACAAAAGATAATATTTTGTATAAAAGTATGTTTTAAAATGAATTTTAATTTATACTTTATAATTAAATATTATAATTTTATAGGAAATAATAAGATATTTATAATGTATTTAATCAAAATATACGCAGTAATAATAATGTTGCAGACAGAGTGAAAAATAAGTAAACAACAATTCAAATCGGTGTGCATTTTCGCCTGTGCGGCACATAAATTTTCGTCAGCGGCACCAATTTGTGCAGTGCGCGGCCGCGCAGCATAGAAGGAACATTGCACATCAGTGGCCAAGTGAATGAAACACCAAATACGAGTAGTTTATTTTGGGTTAGAACCTGACTAACATGTTGGTCTCCCTGGTTATTTTTTTCATCTAAATGGAAACCGAATTTCACCATATAGAGCTCTTCCAGGAGGTATCGTTGGAAGATCACTCTCGAAATTATATTGCATGTTATGACTAATAAGTTACATTACTCATTTAAACACAATGCACAATGTTCTGGGAGACCACCATATTAAAAAAAAAAATGGTTCAATGTGTAGAAACTAAACAGTCTATGTCATAAATCAAAAGACTGATCCAGGTGCTTGTGTCACAATTGACAATATATGATTTCCTTAATTACAAACTCATAAAACTTGCACAGCACGTCTAAGTTACACACTAGCTGAAGGAGGAAAAAGAACTGTGTCACTTGCCATGAAATATGTCGCTCAATCTATTGAATGCTAAGGAACACGACAATTTGACGATACTTTCGTGTATTAATCCATTCGAACATGCGGAAACCATAGCGATTCTCTTTTCTTGAGTCTGCATGCTTCGTAGGACTTAAAAACAAATGATTTTGTTACTATTCTTGCAAAAATGGATTAAAACTTTATAATCATTATGTACTAGAAACTTTTTGCTTTTACATGATCAAAAGAAAATTTTACAAAGCAATTGAGCATAAATTAATCAATTACATGGTAATTAGATATAGAACAGCACATTAGATATTAAAAATTTAATTAACATTATAGAATAACATTAACATGATCTCAGGTAAGTTCTAATTCAATTTTTAATTTTACATTTTAAAATAAAACAATAATAGATAATTATATACGATATTTAATTGTTATCTTACTTTTGAGAATATAATTTTAATTGGATTTTTTATACTAAATTATGTAATTATATTTCAATATTTTATCACGAAATCATCACATATTTTTTATAAGTAGGAATTAAGTCAGTTGCTGCATATCAATAATACCACTTTGGCATAAGGGCAACAAATAAAAGACAAATTCAACAATACGAAACAATTACATATGAAGTACTGTATCACGAAACGATTGAAACAAATTTACTAGTCCAAGTAATGTAAAGTTACACACCGATCCACATAAGTAAAACAACATTGAAATATCCTGCATAGAGTTGCGTGCTTTTCTCGGCTACAGTTAAAAGAAATAGATCCACCTGTTAGGAAATCTAATATAACCGACATGAATTGATATAATGATAATACTAAACCCACAGCAATAACGATTAGGTGTTAAAAGTTGAAATTTGGTACACAGTTAGGGTAAGCCATGAAAATGAAAACGGTTTTTTAAAAAATTCACCAAGCAGAAAGTAGTTAAACAGTTAAAAAATACTTTGAGAAAGTCGCTCTCTACTGTACTATTTTAGGAGTTATTCGGGTTTTTGCAAAATGTCGAACATATTTTTATGCACATAAGACAATACTGTAATTAGCATTTAAAAAAAGTTAATTCTTGCACTTAATAGAAACAAGTATAATTAAATATATAACTATATAGATTATATTAGGTAACAGTCTATAAAGCCAAATGAACAATACATTATTACACGTATTAAACATTACAAATTCCTCTACGATACAATATTCGAAAAATATTTAAATGTGTTAAGTTAAGCACTCGATGTAAAAAATTCTCACGTAATATAAACCTTTGTAAATATAAACTAAACACTATAACATAATACAGTTTACAAGTAATAAGTACAAAATAATATAATCATTTTAATGTGTGCTGTTTATATGTTTTATGTGACCTACGCTGGGCTAATCTGCTAGTTTTTATATTATTATTAAATATTAAATATAAAACCTATTAACTGTATAAAAATTATATAAACATTTCACACAAAGAAAATATAAGTCACAAATCATTGATTTCTAACTTAATTAACTAGAGTGTCGTTAAAACAAAAAACAGGCAGCGAGAGGTGGCTGTTTTTGGTGGCTGTAAGAGGTTGGTTTATTTTGGACGTGACATTTTACTCAAAACACAGAGGATTAGAACACAATATTCTAATAAATAAATTAAGTGTTGTAAATTTAAGTCACATTCTGGATATTCTAGATTGAAAGTTAATTTAATTTTAATTATTAAATTTATTAGAAGAGCGCTATACTATTTATTTCCAGCCAAACTGATTTTTTATCTAAGTAGTTATTAGGCTCAACATAGCCCAATAGATAATCTGACAAATAATTTGGTAGAAGGAATGTGCTGGGTTGTTGTTTATTATGTAAATTACACAATTAATCTGCAAGATGGAAGTGCAGCTACCTATTCTTTCACAGTTAAGAAAATATTCTGGCAATGTGAATTAAAACGTTCAGTTGTATTAAATATGTTGCAAATTCCCGATCTTACATATGGTAAAAGCATCTGTTTCCAATTAAACCCAAAAAACTTGTAACCCGAGTAAATTTTTTTAGGGAAGTTTTTCATTTAACAAATATTCTGCCAAATCGGGAAGAAAAATGTTTTTTAAAAATAAACTTTCCTTTAAAAATGCGATTAAAATTTTCGAAATATTACATTTACGATGTAAAACTCGTGTTGCATTGCAATTACAAATTCGAATTCGTTCAGTTTCTGGAAATTGCCAGTTACTTTTCTTTATATTTTGGGATTTTTTGCGAATGTTCAATTACATAAAACCGAATAACGCAGAAAATGTAACGTTTTTTTTTTATTTACAAGCGATCAAAATGGAATAATTTTAAATAGAATATTAAGTACAAAAGTCATAAATTTTCATAAAAAATATTCAACGTATTTTCTACTTAGCATGGAATTAAATTATCAGATTTTAAATAATACTTGCTCGCATATTGTCTTATATTTTTATGAATGAAACAATAAATGATTTATATTAAAAATATCTTTTAATATTTAATTAATTTATTTATCATCTTGATATTTTTTATTCTTAATAATTAAATTCTTAAATTATTCTCAAGTTTTATAATTCACTTTCTAAACAGCCATGAAATTATTTTAAAAACTTATTGTGCTTTAAAAATTAACAATAAGCAAAACAAAAGAAAGGTAAGGCATTTTTATTTTCGTTTTAATTTGTTATGTATTCTGTACATTGTTGAAGTAGAAAATGGCATATTAAAGTTTAGAATCCTCATTGATGAATATAAGAATTTATTGTAGTAGAATGATGCTTGAAAAGTAATGTCATTCATTCACACATTCGAAATAATACGAGTTGCGATTTTAATTAAAAATAATAAATTAGTCCTTCAAATTATATTTATTTCATATCGAGATAAATTATAAACATTTAAGAAAAACATTAGCAGAGAGTTTTAATCATAATATAATCTTGTTGTAAAATTATCAATGAGTATATAAAATGAATTTATAATGTATATCTATTGCTAACAGAATTTATTAAGAAAAATTAATTTTTAGCTTGTTATTTCAATTACCAAATAGTATATAGACTT